ATTGCCAAACAGTAGTACAGGTATAAACCACAGGATACGTTGAGATTATACATACACGTATAACACAGAATGAATAAAAATTAAAGCAAAGCATGTGATACCAGGGAAAAAAACAGATGCATTACACCTCAAAAACAACAAAAGCACCAATCCACAAAGGATGAAAAGTGAGGATAAACTGAGGGAACAAAACTCATGCCAATCTACAAGTCTGCCATTACTACAGGCACTATACACACAAAATCAAAGGAAAAAAAGGTCGATTTGGTGATATTTACAAGAAATTACTGATGTTCTCAATCGAAATCTGATGGCGATCAATTCCGACTGATAAATTACACCTAGTCTAAATAATAAACGAATATTTTTTTTTGAGAAAGCAAAAATAAGTTAACATTTACCCCTGAGATTTCCACCGGTAATCGGGTCAGTTTGGAGGGCTACCACAGAACACAAGCAAAACAAAATCTGTCTGATCTCTTCATTGGCATGTGGTATTGTTTCCTGTGCTGCATCAGATTGAATGTTAGAGGAAAATGCTGCTGCTTTTTTGTTAAAGAAACTGTAAGCTGCTTTTTTTCGCTGCTTAGCCATTATTGTTTTGCAGCCTGAAAAATTAAAAATAATAGATAAATTGAAAATTGGTATCAGCGCATATGCCAGAGGAACAAGCACAGCTTGCAAGAAACGGTGAAAAAAGTAAGTCATCAACAACATTAGCGGATCGAGGGGCCTTTCGCCCTCCCCCCCTTCTCCAGGAGCTTAGTTATTAGGTATTGTATTGTACAAAAGTGTGCTCGGTACCCCCTGTTGCCCCCTCCTGCGGAGGACCCTTGTCAGTCTCAGTTTAGTGTCCATTGATGAGGACGAGAGAGGGAGAGAGAGGTGTAGCAAGATCTTGGAGGGGGGAGGGGTGACGACGAGTGAAAGGAAGGTAAAAAATCACTCCCCCCCCCCCTCTCACAAGAGACCGCCCTGGATCCGCCTATGATCAGTACCCTCACCAACGCGTGATTCCTGTTGGTACGTGCTCTCAATTGGGCTACTTGTGGATGCTTCCGCCTAAATTTTTCAAGAGAATCTGAGTAGTTATTATGCGTTTTTTGCAGCAATGCAATGCGAAAAACGCATATTGACGAGAGGTTGTCTGTGTGTGTGTTGTGCGTGTGTGTGTGCGCTGCGCGTCTGTACCGATTTTTATGCGTTTTGTGCTGTGTAACAGCCGCGTTTTTTGCAGCTATGCAATGCAGAAAACGCATATTGACGAGAGGTTGTCTGTGTGTGTGTGTGTGCGTGCTGTATGTGTGTGTGTTTGTGTGTGTGTCTGTGTGTGCGCAGCGCGTCTGTACCGATTTTTCATCTCTCTGTGTGTGTGTTTGTGTGTCTGTGTGTGTGTCTGTGTGTGCGCTGGGCCTCTGTACCGATTTTTCATCTCGAGACCGGCAAAAGCTACAGGGCCTGAAACTTTGGGGACTTAATCTACATGCACGTACGGGCCCCTATCCCCAAAATGGGCGGTCCACGCGGTACCCCCGTAAGACCCGCCAAAGTTTTTTACGGGGAAGCTGACAACTTGCGAACCAGAAAAGCTAGAGAGCTGAAATTTTGTGGGAATGTTCCCCACCCAAGTAGGTACTGATGGGCTCAAATCCAGCCCCCGGGTAAGCGTGGCACCCGCGTACGAGCTCCCCAAAATTTTTCCCGCGCAAATTCATAACTCGGGGTTCTGAGATGCCAGAGAGCTGAAATTTTATGGGAATGTTCCCCGCCCAAATAGGTACTAATGAGCTCAAATCCAGTCCCCGCGGTAAATGTGGTACCCGCGCACGAGCCTCCCAAAATTTTTCCCGCGTAAATTCATAACCCGGGGTTCTGAGATTACGAGCCCCCAAAGTTTTTCCCGCGTAAATTTATAACTCGGGGTTCTGAGATGCTAAAGAGCTGGAATCTTAGGGGGGTGTTTCCCTGTCTAAGTGGGTATTAATGAGTTCAAACCCTGGCCGCGGGTAAGCGTGGTGCCTACGTACAGGCCCGTGAAAAGTTCCTTCCGGATAAGTTAATTACTCGAGAACCTGAGAAGCTAGAAGACGAAAATTTTGATGGGATATTTACTGACATTTTTGGCGGCCAGTCTGAAATTGATTCAGCTAGAAGCATCTGCCGAAAAAACCGATGCCGGTAGCGACAAAAACCTGCGGGGAACTCTG